CTTGCCATTATGAGTGTTTGATAAGCGGGTTTTGACTAAGATTGGGAAGTTTTCCTCAAATCCAGGCCAAAGACGTGAACTTCACGTCTTCTAGATGCGTTTCGGAGTTTTAGATTCTTCTTGCTCTAAAAGATCTACATGTCGTGCGGTCTGCTCACGCGTGCGGACTTCGTGAATTATGAACGCTGCACGAGTGCGCAGAACGTGCAAGTCCAGAGTATCACAATGCAACTCGGATAATCGGAAACCTTTTCCGATTATCTACACATTTTCCCCGGACATGGGAAAATGTCGTTGGTTACCATGAGGATGCAGGGCATGGAAGATATGGCATAGGCCATCCTGCATCCTAAATTCTGCCTAAAGAGATGAAGCATCATACATGTTCGCGTGAGAATCTCACAGAGAGAAACCGCAAGAAGAGCGAGAGAGCAGTAACCATATCGCAGAGACTCACCATATATATCCCTCCTCGCGGTAACTCTCATCGTCAGAGTTGTTACCTGGGTATGGCATGATGATAGGCGTAACGACCCCTTAGACGAAATTGAATGTACTATCAGCGAAATTGGTTTCCGCACTTCGACGAAATTTCACGATACTTACTTCAGACGTGCCGGCGAAATTGATTGTACTGTACTTATGACACGTGTCGTCGAAATTGATTTTTCTATCGAGCGCGGTTTCTGGCGAGTTTGATCTTACTAAGGCATATCTTGGCTCGAATGATCGCTCGCTCTGCGGTCAGCTTACAGAAGCGAAGGGTCGCTCGAAGGAGCGTCGACATTCGATATGGTTAGAGCAGTTGAGATTCTCAACCTGAGAAAGACCCGTTCTCAACCCTCATGGTGACGGTCTAGGACTGCCCTCAATCTAGCACGAAGTACGGCCTGGATACACATGCTAGGCACCGAAGATGCTGGGGGAGGGACTCACGGACCCATCTGCTTCGCCAAGGCTACAGTCCGAGTTCATCACCGACAACCTCCACCAAGTTAGTCGTCGAGGGAGGCGTCGAAGGCGTCGGCCGCTGAGCCACTCGTAGAGCTAGTGTCGAGAGCGGTGAGAGGAAGGTGATGGCTGTTGATCCCTACATTGTCTTCATCTGAGACGCTAGTAGACTGGGCGTTATGGGACTATTGGGAACTGTAAGAGGGGGACAGTCACTGTCCGACAGTGACGGAAGGCTGATAGCATAAGTGATACAGATGCTTGGTGTAATCGAGGGCCGATGAGAGGCGTCCTATGGTTAGGGATGAGCATGGGTCGAGGGATTGTTGCAGTGATGTCACAAGTTCCGAGACTATCGTGAATGCACGACGCCATCATGATTCAGAAGTAGACGCCTGCCTGTGCCTCCCCTCCTCACAGGAAGGTCGCGACGACGCGTTTGATACAGAGATATAGTATGTCCATTGAATTGGCATGAATTGGTACTGTATTGTATCAGATTTGGCCCGATTCTGATACAATAAATACAGTACAATTTATCGTGTTCCCAAATCGGATAACAGAGGCGTTCCCCATCTTATCCTAGGGCAGGAGTGCCTGACGCCATGAGTAGTGTTGTGGGATGCCCCACAAGCAACGAACAAGGGTCATAGTCGAGGAGAGGAGTCAGCGTCACTCAGCGATCAAGTGTTTGCTTTGGTCCCGCACGGGTTGTAGCCGTGATTGGCAGACTACACCTCAGTGGTGATATTATCATCATCGTGGATCAACAATTCATTGTAGAGACCCTCTGTTCACAACCCCAAAGAACTACTTGAGCGCACTGAATTAATGCTCAATTCATTGCACCCGGGTTCGAACCCTGCTGACGGCATCTCACATAATCTCGAAATGATCAGCATCACATCTTAACTCAAAAATACTCCCCGAGGAAGATGAAAGTCAGTCTCGCAAATAACAAAGGTTGATTGAAACTAACCTTTATAACGAGTAAATGACTCAGACTGAGTATATCAGCGAAAGTGATTCAAGTCGGCGAACGAGTTTGGCTATCCGCGGGTGCTTCAATAGTCCAAAGTTTCTGAGAGGAAGTCCTTGGCAACTGACACGTTATTCTTTCTAGTGGACTGGATGATGGGACAGACCCGTGTGAAGTGTGAGCCGCTGGTATGGCAGCAGTTAATCGGGCACTCGTCCCGGACCGAGATTACAGGGGGGAGGGGGGGACCTGCAAGTCTTCCGTCCTCTCCACACTACAAGTCGACTAATGCAGTTAACAGTTTCGTAAATATGTAGGGATACTCGGTCGAACTGGAGGATCAGAGTTGAAATACACTCCCAAATCGGCCGGTATGACCAACTTCACCTCAGCCTTCTCCCTAGCAGTATCGTGTTTAGTCTGCTCCTGATAGGAATATATCCTAACGACCTGATCTCCGGATCGCGCTCCCTAAAAATCTGCACATTCGTATCGTAATAACGCAGACCAACAAGTACACGTAGAAACTGTACAGTATACACTAGGACGTCGCATTAGTGGCCTTCAATAGGAGTATATGGGCCGCTTGAACGCCAGCTACCGTACCCGATATCATCACACTGCACTTCCACCTGAACAACCTTATGACCAATAACGACGACCACTATCGTGCTCCACCATATTACTTGGCGGCCAACTCCTGCCTCGTCATCAGCGTACCCGTAGTGGACATGATATCATTGAATTCGCCATTATTGATGATCTTCTCAACAGCCTCCTTCTCCACATGGCACTCTATCATACAGTGCGACTTCATCACTGCCAAACCTTCCTCTGCACCATCCTGGACCGGGTCTGTCGACACTCCTGATGCCTCAGTCGACAAGGCCATTGGAATATAGTGACAACTTC